CAAAGCAGTACTTGTTTACCTCAAACTGTTCTCACAAAGTTCAAAATGGAGGCAGTGATTCAAAATGGGAGTCGTAATATTCAAAATGGAGTCCTGGTTATACTATCCAATTAAAATCACTCCAACACTCTTGGTCAGTGACTCAGTGCCAGCCCAGGAGAGCCTTCCCCTCACCTTTCACTTACTTCTGGCACTTCAAGAGTGGCAGCAGTAGAAATTTTACTCCTGCTGCACCAAGGAGCACAAATGCCCAAGGGCTCAACTTCAAGTTTCACTTCTACACTGTCCTAGGTCAGAGTGAGACTGACTTACCACTGGGCCCATGGAAGGGAGGAGTAGAGTGGGTTGTGGGGGGCAGGAAATGAGCTCCAAACAGCAGTGGAAGCAGAGTGGGGTGGGTAGTGGGCTTTGGGGAAAAATGAGTGGGATAGAGTACAGAAACTCTGCTAGCCTTGTTGATTTCTTATTCTCCCTTGCAATGAACAGAAATCAGAGGTCTGCTTTCTCACACTAGTAAGCAGCCTCTGATATCACTGGTATAATAAATATAGTCTTTGCTTCAGTTATTTTGCTCTTTCCTCTCCAATTGTCAAAGCTTGTTCCCATTTAACTCAACAGCAAAAAGCTTTTGATTTTAATGGGAACAGGGTTTGGCTCAAAGAAGAGATCAGAGAATGCGATTTTGATCAATTGCTTATTGGTCCAGACACAATTCTCATGCATGTGGTTGTGCCAGGCTGATTTTGATTGTCCCTGTTGTATGTCAGACTGCAGAAAATAACAAAACTATTGATACACATGGCACACGTAGTTTTATGCCTCTTCCTCTTTTTGTCTGTTTCTGGATTAAAGTATGGTTGAAAGGGCTGAAAGCTACTACAATAAGAAATTAAGTGAATTCTCCTGAGAGGACAGACATCTTTCTGGAAATAAAGTAAAATATTTCATTCATTTTATCAAAAATTAGGTCTGTGCTTCTAAATCTTCACTTGATTTGTATAGACTTTCATGTGGCAGATTGGAAGCAACCTTTCAAAATGTAGAAACCTTTCTGAAAATACTTTTAAAAATACCTGTCACAACTGCTTCTAGTAAATGTTCTTTTTCTATATTGAAACTAGTTCAAATTATGTTTTAATTTTAATGAGTAGTCAGGAACAAGACAAATTAGGCAATATTGACAACTAAACATGCTTCTTGACAAAATATTACTTACAATTACTTAATTGAAAATTTTGTACAGAAAAAATGTAGAAAAAAGCTATCCAATTTTTTTCCAAATTGAGAAAATTTCATCAGAGGAAGTTTACTTTTATTTTTCAATTTGTGCATCATCTATTTATCTATACACACTTTTCATGTTAGTGTAATGCCAAAACAAACTCATCTAGGCCAGAAATTCTCAAACCGATCTGAACTCCATTCAGGTGGACCAAGGAAAGGTTAAGATTTTTTTAAATAAAGCACACTACAATAGAAAAATGGCATTAACAATATTTGGAAAGATCAGTAAGAGGCCTGCTGAGACCTTCAGTAATTTTCAAGTGTTCCATAAAAAATGTTAGTTTCTAAGGTGCCACAGAATTACTGGTGTTTAGTTACAGGCTGACAAGGCTTCCCCTCTGAGACTGTTTTAAAAAAAATACAAAAATAAAGATAATTTACTTTATTTTCATTTAGTTCCTATTATTTATTATAGAAGGATGACGAACAAAAGATAAACAGGGGTTGAGAGACGAGCTTTTTTTCATTGATTTCTGAGGTGGAGGCAAAAGAAGGTGAGTTTAGGGCCCCACTAACTTATTTGTCACGGTTTGGTGCAACCTCAGAGCCCGGGCCCACCACCGCATTGTTCTGTCTCCCAACCATTGCCATCCTCTGATGCTCCTGAGTAAAAAAAGAAATCTATCAAATCACTCACAGAATACATGGGGGGATGGGGGAGAGGGAGCTGCGGTGGGGAGTGCTTCCTTCCTGTTTCCTGCCAGTGGCTGGCTGAAATCCTGAAGCAAGAGTTTTCTGAACAGGACAAACTAGAAGTCAGCCTCCAGGCTGTTGTGCCCTGCTCACTATCACCACAAACAACCCTGTCATCAACTGCACACAAAAATTTGCCCAGCTCTTGCTTAAAACTAATTGTTTGCCCTTTCAACTACTACTGGGAGGCTTTTCCAGAAATTCACTCATCCCTTTAAGGGCCAGGAGCTGCAATCATGTTGCGCTCCATTGTACCTAGCCCAGGCTGCCCATGATCTAAGCAGTGGATCAAATTGGCTGATTAATCCTCTTCATGCATCACCTGAGGCATGTTAAACATACACTAACAATCTCATCCCTCTGATGATTAGACACAGTCTGCTAATTTCCCAGCTGAATTTGTTCATGGCCAGTTAATCTTTGTTCCTGTGCCAACATTATTCTTTAAATAGCTATTCACACTCCCTGGTATATTACTTCTGGCTCCCCAATGTTTTTATATATATCAATTATATGCCTTCTTTTAGTCAGACTAAACACTTCAAGCTCCTCCTGTCTCCTCTCACAAGATAGGATGGCCAACAGACTAGAAGGCCTCATTCTTCTCTGTACCAGTTCCACTTCAAATTCACATTCCTCACCTGTAAAGAGTACCATTGCCTTCTTGTGAGCACAAATGCTTTAGAGATTGTGATGGAACCAAAGTACCACCTTATCTGTAGTTAACTTATTTATAGCAAAAGCAAGGCATAGAGAAAGAAAAGATGTTGAGGCTAAGGAACCAAGAAAATGAAGTGCAACTCCTTCTTTGTTCCCAAAGATCTCTGCAATCTTCTGTCTTGGAAGAGTGTGTGTAGCTGTTTCAAATATATACTTTTCCATTCTTTTAGAAATACTCCAAGTATTTTTCTCAGGGGGTAGGGTTGTGCTGGTGGTGGTGAATGGAAATAAAAACAGTATGATGGGATATGACAAAAAGTGTGTTAGAGATCCGAAAGGCTAATGCAACTTCCCTTTTCTTGCTCCTGAAGACTGCCATGAACCCCTTGAAGGAAACCTTTGCCGTTCTTTTTTGGCTTAATTATGCAAAAATATAGGGGACTCACGTTTCAGTTTAATTCTTGACTTAGTTTGGCTACATTAGTATTTGCGACACTAAGAATCCCAATATTCAACACACTGGTGCTAGTATTCTTTTTGCCTCACTACAAAACAACTTTGTTCACACAGCGGAGTTGACAGTTTTACATGTGCCCAGCCTACACGATCATTAGTTTAATGGTATCTGTGGGACTTTTTAAAGCCCCTAATATAATCCCTGTGAATGGAAACAATTTGGATTACTGGCAGAATTGCTTGCAATCAGCATCTGGAGCAACTTAACCACAAAGTGACACAACAGATTCTGTCATGAGACTACCTGGGTGGTTCTACAACAAAAAGCTACCATCTTTAAACCACCAACTAAAGATGATCAGAGATGGGGATTATTTGCAAACACCTGCACCCTAATAACTGAAAACAAATCTCTTCCACCTAGAAACTCATCACCAACAATTTTTTTCAGGCAGCTTACTTGCACCAAACCATGGCAAATAAGTTAGTGGGGCCCTAAACTCACCTTCTTTTGCCCCCACCTCAGAAATCAATGAAAAAGAGCTCGTCTCTCAACCCCTGTTTATCTTTTGTTCGTCATCCTTCTATAATAAATAATAGGAACTAAATGAAAATAAAGTAAATTATCTTTATTTTTGTATTCCTTTTTGCAAGAAAAGGGAAGTTGCATTAGCCTTTCGGATCTCTAACACACTTTTTGTCATATGCACCCAACATCCTACAGAGAAAAGAAAATGGCAATGTGACATTTTCATCATACAATCCGGATTATCCAATCATTTTGCCTATTTCTAACCCCCCAGTGACAGAGGACAGCTTTTGGCAGAACTTAGTACATCAGACAAATGGGAATGGGTCAACAATAAATTTTAGCAATTTTTAGACCTGTATTAACAGCAGCTAGAACAAAGGAACACTACAAGCTAAAACCGTGCATGTTCCATTGTAGCTGTACTACCACATCTTGTTAGACTTTGCTTTCAGAAAGGGTTCTCACTGAGAGGGACAGTGTTGTTTAGTAGTTACATAAAGAAACAGCAAGTCAAAGTGATTGTATCTGATCACTGCTCTACTTCTATGCAATTCTGGGCAACATACTTGAATCCCTCTGCTTTGTTAACCCGTAATGGTTAATTTACCTACAGTGCTTCATAGGTGAATCTTGAAGACACACTACTAGTTCAAATTGGTCTACATATTCAGAACTTCTATTAAAAATGTACCTGTCACAATAAAAATCCATGGACACATTAACCTGCCCCCCCAAACTGTTAGGTGCAATCTTTACTATACAACTGAAAGATTAGTTAACAGCACAAGTTGTCTTGAAAGAACCTATAAAGAAAAGTGAAAACCTAATTTATTTTCATTTCTAAAACTAAGTTGAAGTTCCCCATACCTCCTTCATTTTTTATCAAAAGATTATGTACAAAAGTCACTCTGGTTACTTAATTGAACAAAAAGAGAACTCTAAAAAAGCAGAAATACATCAACACTTGATCAGCTTCTTTTTGAAAACAGAAACAAAAGAGGAAGAAAGTAACTGAGCATAATGAAGATATTGAAGTAAAGGTATTTCCATCCTTCAAAAACCATTTTAATTATACTTGTGTATATTTATAGTTTCCAAAGGTGTGTGCATATATATATATATCTAGACTCCGTTGTTATTTAAGTCAAATGATTGTGATTCATTTAACTGCTGAAAGGGAATGCTACTAATTACTACGGTTAAACATGTGTCACTATCTGCAGTCCAAGTTATATCGTTCCTCTTTTTGATTTTTGCTTGCTCAGCATTCAAGATCCTTTGCCATCAACAGTATTTCATGTGTGACTATGGTTTGCAGAACAATTAGTCTCATAATTATTAAGCAGAAAAAAAGGGCAAAGGTTATGTGGGTTACTTTTTGAGTAAAAAAGTTTATTTACAGCTTAAGAAAGTTGCCTTTCCTTTGAGTTCAGTATATGAATATATGTCAAGAAAAAAATTACAGTAGTTGCTTACACCAAAACAAAAAAAATATACATTTGAGATGTACAAACTTTTAAAAACATATTTCAGGCATTGCAAATGCAAGTATTACATTGAAATATTTCCAACAACATAGCTACAACTTAAATTAAGAAATGGAATGTTAAGTACATTAAAAGATTTAGCTGTTTCCTATGTGTCAGTGTATGTACATATTTAGTCAGTGTCTGGTACTATATTTTTAGATAAAAGGCATTAGGAAGATCAAACTACCCTGACCTTGCCATATTACAGGTGCCCAGATATCTAAATGGATTACACATTAGACAATATATACTTTTGTTATTTCTGATGATGCAGATTTTTGTAACTTTGAAGAAGTGCATTGCCTTTATTCTAAAAATAAAGAGCCACACATGAAAATCCTTATTCATAAAGACGCTATAGAGGAACACAGTTTATATTAGGAGAGTAAAGCTTTACTGAAAGTTCAGAAAAAACACACAGCTGTGTTTTACAGTCTCTCCAGTTAATGTTTTATTTAATTCATAACCAAAATGTGAGGGGAGACTATACATCAGATGCCATGAAGACTTGCTTACGTTTCAGCTCATAGCAGCAATGGTAACTTTCCAGTTACAAAGCATATGAAAGCTTGAAAAATTCAATGTACTGTTTCGTAACTGGAAAGGATGAGTACTCCTATTTGTGTTAACATAGATCCTGTGGCTTTCTTCCAAACCTAGCAAAAAGTGATTTTGTTCCATATACTGCAAGTCTGTTCACAATGCTGTCTATAAGAATTATTCATACAAAGCTGAAGAAATAAGTATTCCATGAGTAAAAAGTCTCTCTAAACACTTTTGTACTATCACATTTGATGAGTTTTAAGTAGGAAAAAAAATTAATCTTTGGTCCTCTGAATTTTCCTTTGAGTAACTTTCAAATTTCAAAATTTCCTGAAGGGCAGCTATTTAAAAAAAAAAAAAAAAATCTTTACGTAGCATACTTTCACTAAACACAGTACTCATTTTACAGGACCAATCTTGTCTAATCTTTTTTCTATTGGATATGCCATTTGAATCGTTATGGTTGGCACAAGAAAATTCAAACAATCAACATTTCAAATGCTGACTCTACCTTCCTATGTTAAAGAACGAATCAAAAAGTAGATTATGAAAAAAGGCAGTTTATAAATGTAATGTCTCTACTTTCACATTCTCACTGACTTTAAGGCCAAAAGGGACCATTCATGATCATCTAGTCTCACCTCCTGCACATGGAAGGCCACAGAACCATACCCACCACTTAATACATTCCAGTATTAAGGTAACTTAAGTAGGGTATTTATTCTCAAGATAAATATTAGGCCAATGACAACATGTAAAACAACCAGTAGAAACACATTGAAACTAAGTGACTAGTTAAATTACAAGTATGTCAAGCTGTGACTTAGTGCAGATAATTTTATATGAATCCCAAATTTCAAGAAATATACAAGATAGAACCATCCCAGTATTTTCATAAACATTTAAAAGGTAGACAATAAAATTGCACTTAATTCTGAAGCAACTCAGATAACAAATCATTCCCATTCCTTTCTAATGAATATTGATTCAGTTTCCTTCTTTTTCTGATAGAAAGGACTCAACTTTCTGTACACTCCCTTTAACTTTAAACATTTTATCACTGATCAACAGGCCTCACAAGTTCACTATCTGTCTTGTTGATCAGTGCTGGGTTTATGTATGTCTGACACAGACAGTTCTATTACAGGATTCACAAATCCAGCATACTCTGAATTGCCATTATCATCCATTTCAGCACTAACAAAGTCATTCTCCCATTCCAAACCATTTGAGTCATCAGAGGCTGAGGTTGGATTACTTCCTGTCTTTTTGCTGTTAAATTTCAGTGCTGCCCGGAGTATATCTTCTTCTGTTTTAGAGCGCTCTTTCATTGGAATCATTCTGTTCATGCCTGCAATTTAAGAGGACTTTGAGAATGAAACTATTTTCTAGCATTTTAAAAAAAAGGCAAGCATGGCTAAAATAATATCAGGTTTTGTTGATAATATTTTCCACCTAGTCAACTTCCTGCTCTTTCTACTTAATAAGTATGTATGTATTCTGAACATACTGCACATAGAAAAGACAATACACCTGATCTTAGCGTTCAAGAGGCTGAGAAGTGCTACAAGCTTTCTGGTTCAATGAAAGCTTTCTGGTTCAATGAAAGCTACTAACTCCTGTTAAAAATCACATGACCTGTAGTAATGAATCCCTTCTAGCTTCCTGACAGTAATTTCAGAAGTCATCTTCACTAAGTGAAACAAAGATTCTAATATTCAAAAATTGTTTCCCTAGCTAAACACATTTTCCATTGTGCAGAGGGCACATTCAGGTGATCAGAATTTTGCAGAACTTAGAAATGTTTCAAAAGAAAGGGAGGTTAGCAATGCCGTATCATGTCCAGAGATGTATAAACTGTCTCCTTTGCTCAGAGAAAGGAGTGAAAGCTCGCAGAGGCAATCAAAGATTGACTGTAGTACCTCTGCTTTCATTATGGGCAGGTTTCCTCATCTCTCCTAATTAAAGGTCTCATTTTACATTTGAATTATAGCAATGATTCTAATTCACTTACAGTATGCTGTCTATATAATCAACTTTATCACTTGAGATTCCAAGAAAAAGTTTACATCCACTCCACAGAAGGAGTGGTTTATTTAAGTTTAGCAATACTGTAGTACCTCAGAGTTACAAACATCTCAAGAATGGAGGTTGTTCATATGAGAGGGTTACTCACCCTCTGCAGTAACTGAAGTTCTTCGAAATGGGTGTGCCTGTCAGTGCTCTACCTTAGGTGTTTGGGTGCCCCTGCATGCCCAGCTAGAAGATTTGTATAGCAGCTGACGGGCTAGCAGCTAATGTGCATGCGCGAACCCGGATCCTCTCAGTTTCTTTTCTGCCCCAGTAGGCATGTGAGAGGATGCCCCGAAGCATAGGGGAGGAAGGGTGGGTGGTGGAGCACCCATAGGGACACCCATCTCGAAGAATTTCTGTTACTGCGGAAGGTAACCTTCTCTTCTTCTTCGAGGCTGTCCCTGTGGGTGCTTCACCTTACGTGACTACAAAGCAGTGTGTCCGCTGGAGGCGGGTGCTTCATTCGGTATAGTGTCTCTATGGAGAGCTGTCAGGATGGGGTGGCTGAAAAGGGTTCCTCTAGAACAGGGGTTCCCAACCTGGGGTACGTGTATCCCCAGGGGGTACGAGAAGCTTGTCAAGGGGGTAGGAGGAATATTTGGTAAATAACTAGATTATCCTAATTGAAATATTCCAAAAGTAGTAGTGTTAGTGAAAACAGTTGTGGATTCTAGAGTCTAGAATTTATTTCCTTTCATATTGAATAGGGGGTACGGGAAGGTTTACTAAAAGCCAAGAGGGTACGGGGACTGAAAAGGGTTGGGAACCGCTGCCCTAGAAGGATGTGTGTCGACAGCATAGTGGGTCGCAAAAGTATAGATGGACAACCAGGTAGCTGATTTGCAAATATCCAACAGGGGGACGCCCTGGACATATGCAGTTGATGCAGCCATGGCTCAGGTGGAGTGCACACGTTGTTGTGCAGGCAGCTCTTTGCCAAAGGTTGAGTAAGCCAGTCTTATACATTCTACTATCCATTTGGAAAGTTTCCGAGAGGAGACAGGAAGTCCCAGAGATGTTTCTGTAGTCGAAATGAAATGTTGGTATTGTGGATTCGTGTCGTTCTATCTATGTAGAACGCGATGGCCCTGCGGAGATCGAGGATACAAAGCATTGCCTGCGTCTCATTGTCGTGAAGTTTGAGAAAGACGACGGTAAATTGATAGGTTCATTGCAGTGGAACGCGAAGGAGACCTTGGCAAGAATTTTGAGTGAGGCCTAAGTACCACCTTGTCTTTATAGAAGACCGTAAGAGGTGGGTCTGTCATGAGGGCTGCAATTTCTCCCACCCATCTGGCAGATGTTATGGCTACCAGAAAGGCCACCTTTATGGAGAGGTGGTTTGAGGGGAGGGGAGGTGTTTCGCAAGCCTCTGAGAAACCTTTTAGTTACGGGGTGGGCGAACACTGATGTACTGTCTATTGGTTGGTTTTGAGTGCTACGTCTGACTAAAAGGCAAGAATCAAAGGCTATGTACGTAACTGAAGAGCTCAATGCAGAGCGCACTGCAGGTTCTAACTGGCGCCTGAGGCAGCAGAGAAGGAACTGAGGGAATCAGGGTTCGCGCATGCGCATTAGCTGCTGGCACATCTGGATTGCTGCGCATGCGCCAACAGCTTAGCTAAAGCACTGCTATACAAATCTTCCGGCCGGGCGCGCTGGGGCGCCCAAATACCTAAGGTGGAGCACCGCCCAGGACAGCCTCAAAGAAGAACTGAACATTATGGTTGTTCTTGCTACAATGTACAAGTGCACATTGAGTTAATACAGTTTTGAAACTTTACTGTGCAGAATAAAAATGCTGCTTTCCATTTATTTTTAATAGTTTGCATTTAACACAGTATTGTATGTGTTTTGTCTCTGCTGTTGCCTGACGCTGTACTTCTAGTTTCAAATGAGGTGTATCGTTAACTGTTCAGTTTATAACGGAGGCTCTATTTAAGTCTTTGTTCCTTTGCTACTGACATTTCACTGAAGGCATTATCAAGAGAGATACATAATATCATTTAACAAGTTATATTGCTATTATGGTGAAATGGCAGCATAATTACATTGCAGTTCCATGCTAATTGTACATGACAACTTGTGAACCATAACATATTTAGAAGAGAAGAGAAAATGTAAGCACAGAAAGGATACATTGTGAAAACGGTGTCTGACATTCTGTATAATGCAGGCCATAAACCTTTCCCAAAATAATTCCTAGAGAAAATCCACTGGAAACTTCTAACCTTGATTTTAAAAAAGGTGTGTGATGGAGAAATTATTCGAAAGGTTACTCTCGCCGTTAAAAATTTCAATTTATTTCCAATCTCAATTTGTCTAGCTTCAACTTCCTGCCATTTAACTGTCTTATACTCTTCTCTGCTAGATTTAAGTTCGTATTATTAAATGTGTATTCCTCATGTAAGTACTTATAGACTAATCTTTGTTAAGCTAAATATACTAATCTCCATGAGTCTATCACTATAAGCATGTTTCCTATCCTTTAATCATTCACATGGGGCATCTCTGAACCCTCTCCAATTTATCAACATTATTCTTGAATTATGAACATCAGACCTGGGCACAGCATTTCAGCAGTGGTCACACCAGTGCCAAATATACAGGTTAATTTACTTTTATATCTACTTGAGATTTGCATGGCTAGGCATCCCAATATTGCATTAACTTGATATTCCAGTGTGACACTGGCCAAACATGTTCAGCTGATTATCCACCATACCTCCCCAAATGTTTTTCAAAGCCTGAGTTTCCCAGAAGTAAATCCCCCAATCCTGTAAGTATGGCCTATGTTCTTTGTTCTCAGATGTATTCATTAACATATAGCCCTATTAAAAGCATAGATCCAGCATTCTAGGGCATTCATAACCCTAAACCCGATCTCTTCATTAGTTACCATTCCCACAGTTTTTGTCTCATCTACAAGTTTTACCAGTGATGATTTTTGTGTTTTTTTCCTGGGTCACTGATGAAGATGTCAAATAGCATAGGACCAAGACCGAATCCCTGCAGGACCCCTCAGGACGGACGCATGCACGCACTCACGCACACGGATCCCCTTGTACACTGACATTTTTAAGTCATCAGTTGGCACACATTTAAATGATAAACTGGTTATGTTAAATCCATTTCATTCTAGTTTTAATTGAAATGTGCAGCACCAAGTAAAATGCCTTAAAGATGTCTAAGTGTATTACATAAATACTATTACCTTTAGCAATCACACTGTAATTGCCTCAAAAAGATAAAGTTAATTTTGTCAAATTTATGCTGATTTGGATTCACTTCACTATACTCCTTTAGTTCTTTATTAAGTAAGTCCTATTCCTATATCAGCCACGCTATCTTACCTGGAATTGACGTCAGGCTTATGAATAGCTAGGAAATCTTGTATGCCTTTTTTTAAAATTAGAATTCTTCTAGAGCTTCCCCATTTTTCCAAGACTTATTGAAAATCAACATTAACTATCGAGTGAGCCCCCCAGAATATTCTTTTAAAACTCCTGGATGCATGTGATCTGGACCCACTGATTTTTCAAGTGTCCAACTTCAGTATCTTCTGTTTAACAACTTC